AGGAAGTTAGTTCTGCTGCTTTGGCCAAGAATGGCTGCCCCTCCCCATCTGTCCTCCTTTTTCTGCTTCCTGTGCAGAAAAGTATTTTGGGGGGGGGGAATCCTTTGTACCCCAGTCAGATCCGATCCTTTTTTGAACTCGGGCTTTCTTTCTCCGCCTTCACCAAATCTACTCCTGTTCGGATATTTTTGCACTGATAAATGGAGAGATGGAATCCTTTGCATGCTTTCTAACATCCCTTTTAGGTGTGAATTTTATGAAAGCCCATAGCACAATACAGATAGTCCTTGACTTTCAGCCATTTGTTTAATGACAATTCCATTTGCCAGTTTTCCGAACTACCCAAAATTTCTGCTACTGGTTCCCCAGAACTGGTCAGAATCTGCTGAATGCCGCCTCTGGTTAAACCTTAGTTTTATCTCTCAGCGTAATTATTGGCTCAAATTTTGCTGGATAAAACAAACACAATGTTAGACTGGGCTGAAACAAACAAATTGAATTTATTTGTTAGCATTAGGAGCCATGGTGGCATAATGGTTAGAATTCTGTCCAGAACCAGAAGTTTAATCTTGACCAGCTCAAGGTTGACTCAGCCTTCCATCCATCCATGGTTGGTAAAATGAGGACCCAGATTGTTGGAGGCGATTACCTGGCTCTGTAAACTGCTTAGAGAAAGCTTTAAAGCACTGTGAAGCGGTATATAAGTCTAAGTGCTATTGCTATTTATATATAGACCCAATTTGCATTCCAGGTAATCCTTGGCTTACAACCACAATTGAGGCCAGAATTTATGTTGCTAAGTGAGAAATTTGTTAAGTGCGTTTCGCCTCATTGTATGGCCTTTCTTGCCACGTTTGTTAAGGGAATCCCTGCAGTTGTTAACTTAGTAACTCAGTAGTTGAAGTGAATCTGGCTTCCCCATTGACTTTGCTTGTCAGAAGGTTGCAAAAGGAGATCTCCTACCATCATAAGTATGAACCACTTGTCCGGCATCCAAATGTAAATCACACGATCCCTGGGAATGCTGCGACGGTCATAAGTATGAAAAATTAGTCCTAAGTCTCTTTTTTTTTCAATGGGTACCCAATGTTATTTATATGCTCCTCTGTCCCTGTAAAATTCAGGCGTTGCGCAAACTGCACGTCTGAATCCTTAATTCTACCAGATCCTCCGGAAATCTCCAGATTCTCTGCAGCAATAAACAGATCAGGTCCGGAACGGGAAACAAAAGGCTAAAAAGCGAAAGTAACGGAGACCGAGCTCCCTCCCCCTCCCCCTTGCGCGCCTTTTCCGCTTCGCGCCTTTCTTTCTCTTCCTTCCGAAATTGTCCCCGTTTTCTCGGAAGGAGGAGAAGGAGCACGATGGCCAAGAGCGTCCGCAGCTGCCTGTCAGAAGCCCTGGAGAACCTAACGGACACCGAGCTGGAAAAATTCAAGGCGAAGCTCAACGAGTTCCCGGTCAAGGAAGGCTTCAGCAACATCCCCCGAGGACCCCTGCAGAAGGCGAGCGCGCTCAAACTCAGCGACCTCCTGGTCAGTTACTATTGCCAGGACTACGCCGTGGAAGTGGCCGCCAAGGTGCTGTCGGACAGCAACTGCAAGCCCCAAGCGCAGAAGCTTCTCAGGGACACCGGGAAAGGTAGAGATGACGGGCGGAGATGACGCGGAAGAAAGACTGACCCCCGGGGCAGCTCCAGCAAGCCCCGGATGGGTTGGATCTTAGTTCCCAAGCCAGAACTTTGGAGGAGGTTGAGCTACTTCAATCTCAACTGACCAGCCAAAGGAAGAAACAACTTTTCAGCTTCCACAGAGCTGGGATTCTGATTTCTTTGAAAAGTTCTGAACTTCAGAAAAGTTCTGAAAACTTTTCAGCTTTCTTTGCTGGGATTCTGATTTCTCTTTCCAAAAGTTGGCTATGAAACAGATCTACCCCCTTTGCTCATATGTTATATTTTATATATAATATATTTTATAATATAAAATATAATATATTTTGTAATTTCTATGGAAACCAAGCCCAGTTTTACACACAATTGCTTATCGGTTTTTCAGTGCATGCTAATTATGCAGGCACAATTATTTATTTAAGCATTTGTCTAATGTTTATGAATATTTTATATATTCATATGCGCACACACAATATATATATATATATATATATACATATATATGCATACACACACAAATACACACACACATATATGTATATGTATATATATGTGTGTGTATATACATACACACATACACACATACACACACACCTGCACAGCCATAAAATCGAAATAATGAAAGCATTAAGCTAAAAGTTGATACCTTTTATAAAAGATATGAGACATTAAAATGCCATGTATAATAAATATAATGCAATAAAGAGTAATCTAGTAACAGAAAATAAAAGCAGCCCTAAAAAGTTAGAAATATCAGAGCATCACAAACTTATTTCTGTATTTTGATGCTCCAAAAGCAATAAAGACCACTTTGGGTGTCCCTTGGCAGGTTGGGTGCCCAAAGCTTTGAAGATTGTTAGGCCTCCAGTATTTGGATATGGTCAAAGAATAAAGCAATAAAGCTTCTGTTGTATTTGCTTAGGACAAAGGTAAGAATGGAAATGAAGGTGCATTTTCTTCAGATACAATAATCCCAAACCATAAAGGATTTTATATTTTGACAGTACACATTAAATTGTGTCTGAAAACAATTGAAAAGGGAATAAAGAGAAACTGGTGTGATGCACTCATTACATCGAACTCCAGTCTCTGTTTTTACCTCAGAAATTGTGCTAACTGACATTACAAGTCATCTTCAGGGGCAGAAGAACCAGATATAAATTGCCAGGACATAATTTATCATAGCAAGTTTATTCTTATCCACGTAGGGCTGTTGCCCTGAACAAAGCCTCTGGCCAGCAGTCAGAGGACACAATAAGAGCAGAGAATGAAGCCGGTTTTGCTGCTCTTATCACCACAATAATAAAGACTCTTGCCTATTTCCAGTCAGTTTCACTCTTTCTAGGCCTCATTCTCTGGAGGTCCTCCAAAATCCAGAGAGCACAGCAGAGTCTTCACATAAAGAGTGTCTGCATAAATGCAATCCAGTCTAAAGTTGCCAGCACAGCTTCATTCTAGGTGGAGAAGAAGAACTCAATCAAATTGCGTACTACAGCCTCAGGTATAATCCCCAATCGAACTCACCAGGGTCCATCAAGCTGATTCTACAGGACAGACAAAATTATGTGCAGTGTCTATTTATTGCTGGTTTTGCACAGTAACCTTTTTTTCCCTCCAGATGCCTCCAATTCTGTTCAGGAACCTGTGCCCCAGCTCAGCACCCACTCAAGACAAGCTGGTGAGTTCCTTCTCCATCCATAGATAGGAATTAGCCTGCATGACCATTTATTGACTTGCCACATCCTCTCACTTGGAACACATGTGGCTTAGAACAAATTTAAGTGAATTTCAGTTTCACAACCATTTGATTTCTCCCTTAAACCCCAAGGAATGGCAGGGAGATGATATGAAAACCTTGATAAAGAACATATTTGTGTATACACGTGATTAAGACTCTCACCTCCCACTTGGAAGGTTGAGAGTTCAATCCTAGGTAGTGAGCAGATGTTTCTCTCCTAGGGCCAAAGAAAAAATATCTGCTGTGAACTCCACGTAGTGCAAGGAAAGGTATCTGGCCAGTAAATGCTTAGTTGCATCCAGTCATCCCAACTCTATCCTGACTTTTTTTAAATATAATATTTTTAATGTACATTTTCCTTTATTATACATCACATTTCCAGTTTTGCAATGGCAGTGTACTGGCTATTCAAGTCCTTTTTAAATATACATCATATTATACCCTCTGGTTATAACCATTATTCTCATAGTCATACAGTGTAGTCTCTTTTAAATACCAAGTATTGTACATCATAATTATAACTATTGTTTTCATAGTTATACCATAACACTCTATTACATTTATCACTCTATACATTTTAATCTATATTCACGTGCAGTCTGATAGTGATATTGCTTACAACATATATTCTTACATATATCTATATACATGTATTTATTTCTCTTTTGTTAATCTTCTTTCATTATGGTTACTAATCTCTGTACCTGTTATTTAATCATTTGTACAATCCGTCCCATGTTAAGTAGTAATTTCTTTCCTCTTTAAGTTCCATCATTAAACTATCCAATTTGGCATATTCTAATTTTTTTAAATTACCTTTTCATCGGTAGGTTTTTCGTTTTTCCAATTTTGTGCATGTGTAATTCTAACTGCTGTTATTACACATTACATACGTGGTTTTTTTTATTATATTTCCCCAGTAATATACCTAATAAGAATGATTCTGGTTTTAGATCTATTTGCTGTGCTGTCTTCTAATCATCTTTTTATCTTTGACCAATATTTTTTTTTGCCGCTGGACAGTCCACTACATATGATAGTAGGATCCCAGGACCTGTTTGCATTTCCAACACTCTGGTGACATATTTGGAAACTTTTTTGCCATTCTTGTTGGTGGCAAGTGCCATCTATAAAAAAAAAATTGTACAGGTTTTCTTTGTAAGCTGTTGATATCGTTAATTTATAATTTCTTTCCCACAATTTTTGGCAATTATCTAATTCTACGGTGTATCAAAAAAAATTGCCTATATCATCATAGTTTCTTTTACACATTCTTCTTCCATTTTGAAATTCAATAAGTAATTATAAATTTTCTTTATTAATTTTTCATCTATCCCTAACAATATTTTATCCAGTTCTTGGAGTTCCTTATAGAATATATATTTCTGTATCTTCTTTATGTCTCATTTTAATTTGGATATGTGGCTGCCAGTCAATTCCCTGCTTTTTAATTTCCTGTTTAGATTTTAAATCCCCTTGTTCATTATGTATATCTTTATATCTTACAATTTTATCCGGATCTAAAACATTAGGGTATATTAGCACTTCCATCATAGATAGCCAGACCGGTATTTTCATATAGTGATTCTGTTTGATTTTTTTCCCTATACTGACAACAGAGCACTTCTAATATAGTGCCTTTGGAAGTATCTATGTAGCTTATTTTTCCCATACCATATAGATGCATGCCACCCCAATTGTAGATTATGCTCTTCTATCGTCAATATTCTTTTGTTCTTTAAGTTTACCCACTCCTTCACCCATGTGAGCACTTAAGACTGGTAGTATAGTTCCCAATCCGGGAGCCCAAACCCTCCCTTGTTTTTGGTGTCTTGTAGTATTTTCAATTTGATTCTTGGTTTTTTGCCTTCCTAGATGAACTTTGACATCAGTCTATTTAAGTCCTCAAAAAACTTTTTTCCTAATTTTATCAGGGTTACTTGAAATAAAGGATAGCAATTTCAGTAGAATATTCATTTTTTGTTATAGCTATCCTTCCGACCAACGACAGCTGTAGATTTTTCCATTTATCCAGATCCGTCTTTATTTGCTGGATTAATTTAGTATAGTCTTCTTTAATGGCTGTTAGCAAAATTCCCAGGTACTTAACTTTTTTAGTTATCTGCATGTCCATCTTTTCTGTCAGTTCAATTTTCTGTTTATTTGTAAGATTCTTTGTCAATATTTTGGTCTTTTCCTTGTTTATTTTAAGACCTGCCACCGCACCAAACTCTTCCATTTTCTTTATAAATTTGGGTCCTATTTCTAGGGATTCCTCCAAAATAAACTTTCAAGCTGATTCTACAGGACAGGCCTAGTTTCCTTAGAGTTAGTAACCCAGTTGTTAAGTGAAACTGGCCTTTCCCATTCATTTTACTTGTCAAAAGGAGATCAGATGGCCCTGAGACGATGCAATCATCATAAATATGAATCAGTTGTCAAGCATCCGAATGTAAATCACATGACCATGAGGATGCTGCAACTGTCATAAGTGTAAAAAACTGTCATGTCACTTTTTTATCTGGAGGTTTATCTGTGTCCTCAGGATCACCTGGTTCCCGTAGCCTACATTTTTTCCCCCCTCTACTCCCACACGATTCAAAGAGTGTTCATCCCAAATTGGGAATCATCCTCTTAGCTATACAATTTGGGATGAACATCCTTTGAATGGTGTGGGAGTAGAAATGGATGGGGGGGGGGCAGAATTGCAGACTATAGGAACCAGGAGTGCCACTCAGGTGACCCTGAGGACACAGATAAACATCCCAGTGCTTCAACCACCCTCTGAAAAGGATGCAAATGACCAGCTATCTGCAAGGAATATAAATCCTTCCATTCCCCACCATCCAGTCAGAGCTGAAGAAGCTCCTCAGATGAAAAGAAAAAACTCTTCCAAAGAAAAAACAAGTCCAGTTGCCTCCTGAAAAAAAGCACCTTTTGGACGTTGAAAGAGGCTGATCAATCTGCATTTCCAGGGCAGCGGTGGATCCTCCCTTTTCCGGAGGTCGCATCAGGAAGACTCGCTGAACTGAGCGAAACCGAAAATACTTTCTCCCTGCGTTAATTCCCTGCCACCCTCCGAATCACTCGTGGTTTGGGGCTGATCCCGGAAGGGCGCAAATATGCCCAAAACCATTCAAAAATGCCTGGAGGAGACGCTGGAGGATTTGACGGAGGACGAGCTCCGAAAGTTCAAAACGAACCTCCACGAATTCCCGGTCAAACCGGGCTACGACAATATCCCCCGAGGGCGGTTGCAGAAGGCGGACGCGCAGGATTTGAGCGAGCTCCTGCTCGACTCTTACAGCCAGGATTACGCCGTAGAGGTGACAGCCGCGGTGCTGAGACGCTGCCACTGCAATCCCCAAGCCGAAAAACTAGTGGCTGCCTCTGGAATCGGTAAAGGCTGGGGGATTGAGGGGGGGAGAGAATTGATCCAGATCTGTTCCGGGTTGCTTGATAGCAGAGGAATCATTTGCAGGATCTTGTCCCCGTGGCCATTCTTGTTGCAAACCGGATTGCCAAATCTTCCGAAATCACCTTTTGAGAACTTTTTCTGGTAAAGCTTATTCAAAAATGAAACAAGTAAACTTATCAGGCGGTATGTTTTGTTTTGGCGCCTAAGGGTTGTTGTTGTTGTTTTTTTTTTAGTTCTGCTGTCTTCCTTCTGTTTCTATAGAAAACATTAAAATTATAGGTGTTCAAAAAGTCGTGTTTAAAAAAAAAAGCACAGCAAAGTATGCATCTTTTTCCTAAAATAACTTTAAAATCATCATAGCTTCTGCTTACTCTTCTTAAAGTTTGGTGGGCTCCCTTATTCTCACATATTTTATAATATTTTTCCTTAGATGCTTATGGCCCTTGCTATCTTCTGAAGTTCTTGTATAGACATTCCTCGCTAACGTATTCAGTATTACAGTATTATAACCATTCCCTATCATATTTGAAAAACAATTTTTTTAACCTTTTTGTAAAATCTCACCTTCTTATTTTCACTTATTACATCATTTCTTTTCTGTTTATGAACTATAGAACTTTATCTGGCTTTTTATTTTATTTTAATCTGTTCTCCTTCTGGATTACATGCGTGTAATATTTGTGAACAAAATCGCCTCAGAAGGACTTCCCAGATTTCTTGGCAACATCTGCTCTGGATATGGCATTTAGGATTTTAAAACATTTTTAAAGCATTCTTTTCCTTTTCTGACACTCGTAGTTCAATTGTCAGAAAAGTGTTCTTTCTTGGAATGGTACCCATGTTAAGTCTTACTTATTCACGTACACTCTATGCACTATCTGAACAGAATAGTCCCAATGAAAAATGACCTACATACTCATTGTGCTTGCTATCACTCATTCATAAATAGTACAATAGTAATGTGAAAGTTTCCTAGAAACTTTAAGAAGTTTTATGTACTATATTTAAAAATGAGAAGTTGCTCTCCTTTAAAAAAAACAAAAGGTTTACTGCTATAATGGTCAGCTATAGCAAGGGACAAGAGCTGGCATGTTTAGGTAGGAATATCTGGTGTTTCCCCAAGCTATTTTCCATATAACAAAAGTTGGCCAAGGCAGAGCAATTCAGATATGTTTCCACAGGCAGAAAGTCAAACTCAAGCAATCAGCCAGCATGTACTAGAATGCTGTTTTGCACAACCTGTTTCTCCTTTCAGTGACCACTTCCTCTAAAACACTTCCTCTGTATTGGTACATATACTGAAGACATTTGTTTTATGCTTCTTAACATGTTAGAATGTCTTCTCCCAATTCTACTATTTGGGAAGGACCTAAAATGCTGTTAGAAATCATTAACTTGCTCTCCCTGTTCCCAAAGCCTACAGCAGTGTTTCTCAACCTATGCAACTTCCAGGTGTGTGCACTTCAACATCCCAAATGCCGCAGCCAAGAATGGCCTTCACTGATAATTCTGGGAGTGGATGGATCACACATCTGAGAGCTGTTTAGGATGAATGTTAGCCTTGAGGCAAAGAGAAGGAGTTTGCAGCTAGTCTAAGACTATATTGGGAGCATATAAGAGTTCTTTTCTTCTTGTCATTTCTTGACAGGGAATCAACCATCTAGTTCTTCTCACCGGCATTTCATCGACCAGTTCAGGGAGCAGCTGATCCAGCGAACTGCCACAGTGGAACAGGTGCTGGATAAGCTGTTGCAGAAGTCCATCATAAATGAAGGACAATACCAAGAAATCTGTTCGAAGGAAACTAATCAGGCGAAAATGCGAGAGCTTTATAAGTTAGTTCCTAGCTGGAACGACCACTGCAAAGATCAAATGAAAAATGCACTGAAGGACGTAAATCCGTATCTCGTCAAAGACCTAGAAGGGAAATGAAGCAACAAGGAAGATGGAAAATTAAACCATTTTGTGCTGCCCCACTCTCTCTCTCTCACACACATAAATGTGGTTTGGAGAGTTTATTAATGTTCCCCAGCAATTTCCTTCACTCAGCTTCAGAACTATCCCAAATAAATCCAGCCACAAGCAGGCTAAGGTTAATCCACAAGGCAATAGCCAATAGTCCATAAAACAGTGGAAAGTCGCTCCAGCAAATAAGTCCACCAAACAAACTTAAATCCACCAGGCCAAACTGAAATACACCCACAGAAGTTCACTTGGCAAGAGAAGTTCAAAGTCTCCAAAGGCCAAAGCACCAGGAACAAACATACCCAGCCAGAAACCTAACACGTTCCCTCTGTCTGCTGTGATAAATAGCTTTCCAGTGCAACCCATGAAAATGGGCAGGGCCTTCTCCTGAGTAATGTGGCAGATCTCCATTGCTCTTATCTTTTCTCTGCTCTCAGTTCCACCACGGAAGGCAGTTCCTCCTCCTTTTCATTGACCGTCCACCCCTGCAAGGTGTCCCCAGCCGAAGCCCTCTCTTTCAGCCAGCCATTCAGAGTCATTAATTAACCTAGTTCCTGATATGCCAGGAATGAGTTCATCCTCCCTTGGACTGACCTGAGAAGAATCTGAAGAGTCATCCAAGGAAGACATCACACATTTCAGGACTCAAAAAAGATCTATGTGCTATGTAACTCCTTTGATCCACACTAGGATAAGAAACTGGGATCCTCAGATCCATTCAAAACCTAACCAGCTTGCTCAGTTGTAGGAGATCATCTACTACTGCAAAGAAAGATACAGAAAGACTGGCAAACAAATATTAAATCCCACCTTAGGAGTGTCCTCTTCTGGGGGAGAATATTATTGTGTTAAACTTACCTCATTCTATTCCATGGGCAACTGATCAATTATAGAGCAAACTGATAAATCCATATATTTTGACCAGCTTCTCAGTCCTTTGGACTCTCTTGTTTTATGAACATGAAAGTTCAGATATCCTTGAGATGTTTTACATTTTTAAGCAACTTTTTCTTCGAAATCACAAACACAGACTATTTGGGGATCTATATATGGATTCTGGGGTCTAAAAACAAAAATTTATTCCACTTTCCTTTAGCATTTTACTATGTTTCTCCTAGAATAAAGCAAAGTATTATTCATCAATCCGGCCTGGATAAAACAGCTGCACTTACATTTCCTTGGATATGTTCAGTACTGAAATGGATCTCCTGAGGACCTCACCATCTTTACAAATGCGCCATAAAGCTTCTTAAGGTATGACAAAAGAAAATTCCTGATTCCATATAGATAATGACTGAAGCTCGGTGACGCAGCGGTTAGAGTGCAGTACTGCAAGCTACTTCTGCTGCAGCCAGCTGCCTGCAGTTTGGCAGTTCAAATCTCATCAGGCTCAAGGTTGACTCAGCCTTCCATCCTTCCAAGGTGGGTAAAATGAGGACCCATATGCTGACTCTGTAAACTACTTAGAGAGAGCTGTAAAGCACTATAAAGCAGTATATAAGTCTAAGTGCTATTGCTATAACATAGGATGATTTTAGCACTGACTCAGCATTGATTATGCTTGTTGATCACTTGTAGCAAATCCAAAATTGAGATGATACCACCATCCTGGTTCTCTTTGATCCTTAGCAGCTCTCCATAACATTGATCATTTATGGTTGTTCTGGCTCAGTTTCGGGGAGTAGGTTGTTAGGATGATATTATAGGGTAACAGGGTTCCAAACAGGTGAGAAAGGCTAAGCTTAAAGTCCTTAATTTGCAAAGTGCTTCGGGACTGAGGCTCTAATCCCTCTTATTTAACACCTTCAGGAAGCTGTTGGGAAAGGTCTTTAATTGGTTCAGAGGTCCAAAGCCATGTCATGGAGCTACTGGTGAGCTGTCTTCTAAAATAAAGCAAGGCTATGGCATACACTTGAAAGAAAACTGGGAAGCCTATACAGTAGAACCTCCAGTCTCAACCGTAATCTGTTCCATGACTTCGGTCGCAACCCGATTTGGTCATGACCAAAAGCGAGACTGACTGCGCATGCGCATTTTTAAAAATGCCGTGGAAGGGGAAATCGCCACGGCTGTGTTTGATCGCCACATGATTATTTGTTCATGACCAGATGCAAACATTTTCTGAAATTTTTACTTGTCACCCGATTTGGTCGTGGTCAGAAGCATTGGTGACCAGAGGTTCTACTGTAATTGTGCAGCCTGACAGGCAAGAACAAAGAATGCTTATTCACAGAGAACATGAACGTGTAAAACTTGCATCAACTTTGGGTGGTTAAAGGTCTGATAACAGTACCAAAAGTTAGACATCCTGCATACTACAGCTAGAAGTTAAGAATATGGATGGCCTGGAGGAAATAACATGTATTAGATAACTCCTAGAGAATTAACTAGTCAAGTTTTAGGAATAGAGATGGCTAGAAACCAATAGAACAATGGTTAGATCATTACTAAAATGTTTATTAGATAATATTTCTTATATCCTGCCTCATCCCACCTTGCGCTTTAGTGAAATTGTATAACGCTTTCCTAATTCTATTGTTCAGGGTTCCTAGGCATTTTCTGGCCAGGACCCCTTTTCTTGGAGCGCTTCAATAAAAGGAAACAAAAACTGCACCTCGAGTCTGGAGTTCTTCATCCGCTTCAACACAAGGCTCAGATCCAAATTGGGGACAACGCTATGGCTGCCGGTTCGCTCCCCTCCTGGGCAATTCCACTTCTCATTTTCCATGGGAGGGGGGATAACATGTGGAACCTGTGGGGATATTTTTTCAGGAGTAGAGCAACTCTGATTTCCCACTTCCTGGAAAAGAGAAAGATAAAAACACCTTTGGAGATCTGGGGGCCCTTGGAAAACCAGTATTACCTGGCCAGGATCCTCTCTGGGCTGAAGGTGCCTTGCAGGAAAGGCCTGGAGTCATTTGCATACCTTGCAACCCAGGGTGTCCATGGTGAAAGCACCTCTCACTTGGCTTGCCCCGCAGCGTGAAAGGAAAGCCTGCGTGCTGCTTTCCTGGGTCCAGGCTGAGATTTCCTGAGAACAGCCTATGCTGGGTGGGCTGACATATCTCATAGGAGGTTGGGTTATTATTTTGGTAATAAATAAATTACTATTACTTTTTGTAATAACCAAACCTAGTTGTCAAAGTAATAACAATTTCCCACAAAAGGATCTGTGTAAGATCTCTACTCAGGCAAGCAAAACACTGCAGCAACCCTGAGCAGCAAAAGGAGGAAACAGACAATCTATACAACATTTTCCAACCAAATTGATTTCCACACAACTTCATCAAAGTTGCCCAGAGACATCTTGTAGGGGAGATGCGTGGCATACAAACTTAATAACTAAATAAAAATTTTAAAAGTGCCTGACCAATCAACCCGATATAGCGTAACTAACACAAGCTATAAAAAGGATATATCACGATAACAAAAACATCTCAGAAACCCCCAGCAGACCTTTACGAGCAAATGGAATCATTGCAGCACATAAACCAACTAAAGTCCTCCAAAATATCCTAAGCCAAACAAAAGACCCAGCAGCCCCAGAAGAAAAAACAGAATGTAATGACCGCAATAGCCGCTACAAGAACAAACAGACAGAAAACCAACAGGATGCATCCCTTGGCACCAGTTAGCAGTCAGAACACGTGATGAAAACTTTAATTTTGCAAAGTATGGACAGATTTAACTATAGTTTCAAATGGGAAATTTTGATCATCTTAGGCCCAGCCAAATCCAAAAAAACCTAGCTAATTCCTTGAAGCCTGGCATGCTGACAAATTAGCCATCAATGGGCAGATAGGTGTCAACAACATTTACATACTGCAAAAGAGACAACCAACAAGCAAAAAAAAAAAAGGAAGAAAAAGACCAAAACACCTTTCCACCAGCAATCAATACCCAGATAAGCATAGATTAACACCAATATTAATATCAGACTTATACTCAAGAGGTCAGCAAATTCCTGTCAAACAAGAGGTGGCATTCTGCAGGTTCTAACCAGTTCTGGAGAACCAGTAATGGAAATTTTGAGTAGCTCGGAGAACCAGCAAATACCACCTCTGACTGGCCCTGCCCCCATCTATTCTCTGCCCCCCGAGTCCCAGCTGATCGGTTGGGTCTTCTTTTGTTGCCCTGCACAGGAAAACGAAGCTGGAAAGCAGGTTAATAGGGTGGGGAAGGAATGGAATTTTGCAGTAACCTTCCCCCAGGAGTGGGGTGGGAATGAAGATTTTACAGTATCCTTCCCCTGCCATGCCCACCAAGCCATGCCCACCAAGCCACACCATACCCACAAGCCATGCCCACAGAACCGGTAGTAAAAAATTTTGAATCCCACCTCTGACAATAGTCCAACCAAAAATCTCAAAGACTATTGCAATACTGACAGAACAAGCCTATTCTGTCCTCATGGTCTTTATACTGAGGGAGTCCAGATAAGCACCATCCCTTTACTTGTCTTGGGAATTTGAAGAGATCACCATCCTTTTACTATTCTGTTCTTTATAATTACTGACTGAATGTATAAGGGCAGATAGATAACTCCACAAAGCATCCATACAAAGTCTTTTTATTGGTTCATCAGGCATCCTCAATATAACTTACAGTTACATCGAGATTCATCTCAATGTCCAACTCTTTGCATAGCTGACTTTCTGGTGTAAAAGGATTGTGATCTTTCATCCCATAATAGTGGAGCAAAGGGGAGAGATGCCAGCATGCTGTTGGGGTCTGAGCCAGAGAGAAGAAACCTCCCCCAACCCACCAAGGGTCAATTCAGTGACCAATCAGGATTACAGATGTGGCCACATGACATGGACTACATTTCCCAGAATACCTTAACTACATTTACCATGATGCATTCCCTTAAGGGGACAGCTCTCAATTCCTAACTAACTATCTCAATTCCTATTACCTATAAACTGTCTGGACAGCACAAAGCCATTCCCACCAGCACTGATGATGGGCAATGAAACATCTCACCCAAACAAACCCAATAACAGAAAGAACTTTAACTGGAGGTGTTTGTTATAAGTCCAGTGTGCCTTAGAATCATTATAGTTGTTAGAAAACAGAAGACAATGGGTTGAAACAATTACTTGGCATTGAAGAAAGATTTGAAAGATTACATACATTGGAAAATAGCAGCGTTTGTTTTAATTATTGAATCAGATCAAAAAAAGAATTATTCACCTTTAACATTCTGATCAACTATAGTCATTGTAATAGAGGTAAAACTAAATAAAAATGTTCAAGAATTGACTTGTATATTATGTCTACTTCCTTGAAATACTGTTTAGCATTTTTGAACATTACTTGGGTTTCTACTCATCCTACCAAAGTACAGGCAGTCCTCTACTTACAACCACAATTCAGCCCAAAACTTCTATTTGAGACAGTTGTTAAATGAGGCTTGTTCCATTTTATGATTTTTCTGCCACAGTTTTTAAATGAATCACTGCAGTTGTTAAGTTAGTAACATGGTTGTTAAGTGAATCTGGTTTGCCCATTGATTTTGCTTATCAGAAGGTCCCAAAAGTTGATCACATGACCCTGGGGCACTACAACCATCATAAATATGAGTCAGATGCCAAATTTCTAAATTTTGATCATGTTACCATGGCTATGCTGCAACAATCATACGTGTGAAAAATGGTTATATTTCAATTTTTTTGATGCCGTTATAATTTCAAACAGTCATTAAACAAACCATTGTAAGTTGAGGACTACCTATAATTAGGGAGCCACTGCTGAGGGTCCCCATCTACCAGAAGCTAAATGGGAGGGGGCCAAACAAGGACTGTTTAGAAAATGTTGGTCCCTGAAGCTGCCTTGAGTAAATTCATTTTCCAGGGGGCGGGAGGGGAGAAATTCCATTAATAAATAAACAACCCTAACCTAGATATTACTGTGCTGTCAACTGGGCAATCTGGTTTTATAAAAGGACAATATTATCACATTATTAGTTGACATTTTAGGTAAGCACTCCGAAAAATCAGTACCAGCAATAGCTGCTATTTATATTATTGTGATATAAACCAGTGTGTCTCAATCTCAACAAGTTGTGTCATCTCCCAGAAACTGGCTTACAATAAGCCAGAATTACAATATTTATATTATTTATCTATGTATTTGTATCCCACCTTTATTATTTTTACAAATAAGGCAGTGAACATATCCAGCACATCTTCCTCCTTCTATTTTCCTCACAACAACAATCCTGTGCGGTTGGGATGGGCTGAGAGTGACTGGCCTAAAGTCACCCAGCTGGTTTTCATGGTTAAGGCAGGACTTGAACTCACAGTCTCCCACTTTCTAGCCTTGAACCTAAACAGTATAAGGCATAAAAAGAGTTTTGGAGCAACCTTTTGCAAGGTACAGATTTCCTTTTTTTAATTAAGTGGATTGCAATGTGTTATTATAATACATTGCAATATAATAACCCATTGTAATCTATAGGGTTGCAAATGGGATTATTGCTTCATTTATTTATATGCTTTGTGCAACTCATCAAAGATAACTTTTATCTTTTCATTTCATAATGGAACTACTGGCCTTATTTTATAAGATAAGATAAATTTATAAGATAAGATACATTTATTGTCATTGTACTCAGAACCTGAGAACAACGAAATAAGGTGCCAATTTTATCATGCCAATTTTATATAAAATGGTGGGAGGTCAACATAAATTGTAGTTATATGTGATGATACAGTATACAACATCTTATTGACCAATGTGTATTAATCAATGTGTATTAATAACCTGATAAATTGATAAATCTGAGAGCCGGTTACAGGTTCTTGTACTTTTTGGAAACTGGCTTTGATAAATGAAGAACCAAAACTAATTTGCAGCTCATCTGTCTGGAATCCGCACTGTATATCGGACATTAATACAATTGAGCGAGTCCAGAAGTATTTCATGAGAAGAGTACTACACTCTTCTGCTTGCAACAGAATACCCTATATCACCAGACTTGAAATTTTGGGCTTGGACAATCTTGAACTATGCCGCCTATGGTTGGACTTAAGCGTAGTACACAAAATTATCTGCTACAATGTCCTACCAGTCAATGATTACATCAGCTTCAACCGCAACAATACAAGAGCACACAACAGATACAAACTCAATGTTAACTGCTCCAAACTTGATTGCAGAAAGTACAACTTCAGCAACAGAGTGGACAATGCCTGGAATCCACTACATGACTCTATAGCTACATCCTTAAACCCCCACTCCTTTAACCTCAAACTATCCATTATTGACCTCACCCCATTCCTAAGAGGTCTGTAAGGGGAGTGCATAAGTGCACCATCGTGCCTCCTGTCCCTGTCCTAATTTATTTATTTATTCGTACCTATTTTCTGTATTCTTACTCATGTTTATACTTATACCTATTATCTTGTAAGTGATTGAGAAATCAAATAAATAAATAAAATAAATAAATAAAAATAAGCTTCCCCTGGTGTGGAACCCAGCCTGGAAAGAAGGGACAATCATATCAATAAGTTGGTATATGCTACTACAAAGTAATTGTTCCAGAGGTTTATAGCAAACTTATACACTAGGACAAACTTACATACTGGGACAGGGGTATCAAACTGGATTTCTTCAAGGGGTGGATCAATATTGTAGTTGTCCACTGTGGGCTGGCATGGGGAGTGGTGACGGGACTGATGGCAGATGGGATGAACGCCTCCTGCACCACTCCACGGGCCAAAATGGGGCCTGTTTTTGGCTTGGAAGGCCCCCCTACATCCCATTTTCACTGGCAGAGTACTGCAGGAGGCCATCCAGTCTGCAAACAGGGCACAGGTAGCCCTGCTGTGCCCTGTTTTTGCTAGCAAAGGCACCGCATACCAGTCCTCTACTATTTCCAGGCCGGCCCTGTGGGCTGGATCCTTGTGTTTGACACCCCTGCACTAGGATATTTTTTAAAAAAATAATAATTCATAGGCGAATAAGGGTGTTGGATATTTTGAACCAGCATTTTACCAGTAATGAATGAGCTGTCTACAACTGTGGAACAGCAACTGTTCAAGAAAAAACAAAAACTCCAGAACTCTTCTTCCTTGAGAGGTCCTTGGTATTCTCTGAGCTTGGTTGTTTTGTTGCAGACATTTCATTATCCAAACAAGGTTACATCACCAGTGCAACTGTAGTGTTATTTAGTTTCGGTAATGAAATGTCTGCAACAAAACAACCAAGCTCAGATAGCACCAAGGAAAGAGTAGGAATCGGAATCGGAATCGGAATCGGAATCGGAATCGGAATCGGAATCGGAATAGAATAGAATAGAATAGAATAGAATAGAATAGAATAGAATAGAAGCAGAGTAGAGTAGAGTAGAGTAGAGTAGAGTAGAGTAGAGTAGAGAAGAGAAGAGAAGAGAAGAGAAGAGAAGAGAAGAGAAGAGAAGAATATTTTTAATTGGCCAAGTGTGAATGGACACACAATGAATTTGTCTCTGGTGCAGAAGCTCTCCATGTACATAAAAGCAACAAGTCATAAATCATGATCATAATCATAAAATGCAATCATCGTAAATTATAAGATACAACACTCAGTGATAGTCAGAGATACTAAATAAAAGCAACCCTGAGTTACAAATATTCTCCTTTATTGATACCCTTCTGTGCCATGCAGTGCAGAGATTTGGGTCTGTCCATTCCTCTATTCAAGCAAGACACATTAAAGTCTCCAAAACTTTTAAGATTCTGCAGATTCTTAAAATTCCACCACATTCTAAAAGGACACATTTATTTTTCGATACTTTGTTCCTGAAAGCTGCAAAAACAGGCAGGGTATGGAGGTAGGCAGATTTCCTCCACGAAGCTGTGCCATGTAAATTCTTCTGTTGAATTTCTGCCAGTTGTATGAAAAGAAAAGGAAAAAAAGGGTGGAGGGGGGAGCTGTTCTCATCCTTTGTAATGTAACTGAAGTAAAGTCCTCATTTCACCCCTCCCCCTTAAGTCCTTATCTTGGTATCCTTTGGTATCCTAGCAACTGCCCCCCAAGATTCTCCCCCGTCCCTCTCTAATTCCCCCCTGCATCATGTGAACTTCAAGGATATGACGTCATCACTGGGTTCCCTCTTATCCTTCTGTAGGCATAACCAATTTGCAAGCCGCAGGATTGTTATAACTGCCTGGTGTTTTGCAACTGCTCTTGATTGCGCCTTAGGAAACGAAAAGCAAAAGTGTAAGGATTTCGCAAAATCCATTTTCTAGGATACGAGGGCGGTCTTAAGATGGAAGAGGAGCCTTTAGGAGGGACGGAGGAAAGGGAGGAATCCAGAGACAAAGGTAGGAAGAAAGATCTCATCTAATGAGCCTGAAGCCATTGGAAGAGGAGCGGAGAAAACAGCCAGAAGCTGCTCATTTTAGACGAAATCGTAACGTCTGAAAATAACAGATGTTTTAAGAGCACCTATCTTGTTTTTGCAAGGCAAAAACTCCGAGCAGGCTGGTGCAATTTATTAGTATCTCAATTATGCAAGATTATTATTATTATTATTATTATTATTATTATTATTATTATTATTATTAT